TGTACAACACATACATTTCTTAAAACATGTTTCTTCGAGAAAACATCTCACTCAAACTCAGGTCCTGTAATACAGATGAGGTCTGACTGATGGTAGTGGCCTGACCTGGCTGGACACTCAGTGCCCACCAAAGCTGCTCTATCACTCCTCCTCCTCAGGTGGACAGGGGAGAGAAAATACAACAAAAGGATAGTGGGTCTAGATAAGGACAGGGAGAGATCAATCTCCAATTAGTGAAGCAAACCAGACTTGACCCAGGGAAATTAATTTAATTATTACCAATCAAATCAGAGTAGGCTAATGAAAAATAAAACCAAATCTTAAAATACTTTCTCCCCACACCTCCCTTCTTCCTGGCCTAAACTTCACTCCTGATTTTCTCTACCTCCTCCTCCCAGGCAGGGGAACGGGGAACAGGGAACAGGGTTGTGGTCAGTTCATCACACGTTGTCTCTGCTGCTCCTTCCTCCTCAGGGTACGACTCCACACTCTTCCCTTGTTCCAGTGTGGGGTCCATTCCACAGGAGACAATCTTCCATAAACTTCTCCATTGCAAGTCCTTCACACAGGCTGCAGTTCTTAAATTGCCCCAGTGTGGGTCCCTTCCATAGGTGCAGCCCTTCAGGAACAGGCTGCTCCAGTGTGGGTCCCTTCCATGGGTGCAGTCCTTCAGGAACAGGCTGCTCCAGTGTGGGGTCCCCTGTGGGGTCACAAGTACTGCAGCAAACTTGCTCCAGCATGGGCTCCTCTCTCAATGGGGTCACAGCTCCTGCCAGGAGCCTGCTCCAGCACAGGCTTCCCACAGAGTCACGGTCTCCTTTGGTCATCCCCCTGCTCCAGTGTGGGGTCATCCATGGGCTGCAGAGGGAGATCTGCTCCTCCAAGGACCTCCATGGGCTGCAGGGGCACAACCTGCCTCACCATAGTCTGCACCATGGGCTACAGGGGAATCTCTGCTCTGATGCCTGGAGCATCTCCTGCCCTCCCTTCTGCAGTGGCCTTGGGGTCCGCAGAGCTTTTTCTCCTTCATGTAGCCTTATTCCTCTCTCCAGCTGCAAGTGCCATTGTGTCATTTTTATCCCTCTTAATAAATACATTCTCACAGAGGTGCTACCACTGTCACTGACAGGTGGCAGCGCCTTGGCCAATACAGGGTCCACCTCAGAGCCAGCTAGTATTGGCTCTACTGGACACATGGGAAGCTTCTGGCAGCTTCTCACAGAAGCCACCCCTGTAGCTCCCCTGCACCCTTTCCTCCCACTACCAAATCTTGCCACACAAACCCAATACACTGGTCTACGACAAAGGTCAGTGATTACTGAAGAATAAGGAAAAAGAAAACCAGCTTCTGAAAGTAGCTCTAGGATTTTACAGATTAGAAATTTATATTCCAGCACTGAAGACCAACTTCTTCATGTGGAGGAGAGGTTAAACTTATTTTTCTACTTTGCATACAGATTAAAAAAAAAAAAGACTTCAAAAAAAGTTTTAGAATTGCAGGCACATTTTAACTTCAAGCACAACTAAATATGTGCTTGAAAATACTGTGGTTCTTCATCTTGAAGTCAATTTACTCCGATAGTCTATAGTCTATCTTCTTACACCTATTTTTCCACCAAGATACAACTGCCAAGCTCTTCTGAATTTCATTACATCTTCTGTAAGTCATGACAACTCTGACTTTAGCCACCAGCCTTTTCTTCCTGCTCCTTGTGTATAGCTCTCAAAAGCTGTCTCTCATGAGTAAACCTTTTTCTTACTCCAAGTTTTATGAGCAGCTCTCTGTTCAAAGCCTAGACCACTATTCTCATTTCTTCTTTTCCACTTTATTACTTAGTTTCTGCCTCTCAGCTGACTCCATAGGACTGCAACAATAAATGGCGCAATGCCTTACTTTTAGGGATATATGCCTTTCAATGGAACCTGGAATTCTCTACCAGTTGCATTAAGCATCCTGTACAGCTTGCATGAGGCAAGCTAAGCATTTTAGAAAGTATCCAAATTAAAAAGCAGGAGAAGAAAGCAACCCAATCCAGCTGGTAGGGAAACAGAAAATTGGACTGGATCTTAAATCTTACTTGTCTTAACAAAAACAACATATTCAAGCCTACAAACAGTTTCTTTATTCACCAAGAAAAAGTCAACTTCGCTTGACAGTGCAGGGCATACACATTCAATTCTCACTCCTGCCATGAGAAATCACTGGCTGCGATTTTTGCTTACCAGGAACCTTACGCATTTTTTCGGTGTGAAATCTGTAACAGTAGGAAAGTAAGCATTCTGTAACTCCAGCATCATAAATCAGATTTCTAGAAACACTATTCTGAAAGCTAAAGGGACCACTCTGAATTTTATCTGATTCACAGAAGTATTAAGAGTAGTATAAAACTGTCCTCAGAACTGTTAGTCTAGCACAATTCTTTATAAGCCCAATAAAGAAACAAAGTTAATCACAGTGTATGGTTGTCTTCAATAAAAAACAGGTTATGAGACTCAATTGCACACACCTTATATGCACGAAAACTGGTTATACACATAGAAAAACTATAAGTGGTAAGGAACAGAAGCCAAAACTGTATTTTTAAAAATACTTACTAATATTTAAGAAAAATTATGACTGACCATAATTATCACACTCACACTCCCTTTACGTCTTCACGACTAAGTGCTTTCCTGGATAATAGTCTTCAACCAAATGAAAGTTACTTGGATTAAAACAAGCTTAAATGAGTTTAGTACACAATGATATACAGAAAGTCAAACTGAGTGATCTAATGACTTCTCATCACTCTATAATTTAATAAAATACTAGAAGTTCACAATAAGTTGAGCCATACTTCCATCAGGGAATCTCACAAATCCAGTTTTAGAGAAAATGTGGATAATTATCAAAAAATAGGTATTATAGTTACTGCTCTCTTTTAATCACAAGAGAATCTTATTCCTCAGTTCATATTTATTTAAAGACAAAAAAATTAGTATTCCATGGCAATTACATAATTAATAAAAACAAGGTCTTTCAAAGTACAATCCTCCCATTCTGAATGTTTTGTGGGTTGTTTTTTTTTGTGGTATGTTATATATTTAATGTAGACATATCCCTTAAATGCTTCTGTTTTTCATTTGACAATGCAGCCAATTTCCTATTTCACATGTATGTCTGAAGAGAAAAGCAATCATCACAGTACAGACGGAGGAAAAATGTTTACAAGGCTCTCTGAAACAATTAATTTACTCACATATCCAACTATCTTCTAGTAGGTATACTAGGAAATAACTTCTTTGATTTAGCTGTAGAGGTATTCAGCCACAGCATGGGTGAATGGGAGATGATAGCACAAAACATCATAAACTTTGAAGATGTTTTTTGCCCACTTTTGCCCAGCTTTTACTAAAGTTACCTACATAGCATGTTAATTTTTAACACCAAGCTTTCAGTGCAACTCTCTTTTAGTGACTGTGCATTTGATAGAAGCTACAGGATTATCGTTTCTACTTTTTCTTTCAAACCAGCATTTGACTTACCATGGCAGATGTAGGATAAAGTGAAAGCCTCGAAGAACTGAGATTTCAGAATTTTAAAAGGCCTTACATATAGGAAGCCAGAAGATACGGAACGCAGAAAACACAGATGGTTAAAAAAAAAAAAATCCTGTGATCACAGACTATATGCTATTGCTATATTGTTTTTCTTGGATTCTAACCAAAGTCTAAGCTCTTCAAATCAATTGCTGTCATTGTGCCAGCTTTGCATATATTTGAATTATTTTCATTATCTGTGGAATAAGCTGCATAAAACACATAGTTGCATGACATATGGATTAGAATGAAGATGAGGTATTGGAAGATTGTTTTTCTTGTTAAACGTGATGAATTCACAGCAAAGACACCTATTACTGTGAGAGATGTTATTAACAAGAATTTCAGAATTTCTTGTTAATCTGAAGTATCTTCTTGTTTCAGAAAATGATCATTTGGAGTAGCTCTTTCTTCAAGAGTGGAAATATATTTTCCTCTACCCCACATTTTTCAACACATGCAGGTAAGGAAGGAAAAGAAGGAAAGAAATGAAGATAAGGAAAATTGCATGTATTTTAAGTTATTTTTGTTCAGATCCTATACAATTGCTTTTGGATTCTAAATTTATCTACTTCAGTGCAATTAGGGTGAGTTTTTTTCACACATAATATAAATGAGATCATACTTGCCCAATGATAAATCTTGCATGATAGGTGGGCTGGAAATAACTGCTTACTTCCAACTCCTTTTTTTGACCAGCAGTTTGATAGCTTCTATTTCAGTCTGTATCAGAACTTTAAGCTGTATCAGCTAATGATTGGAAAAACACACCATCCATAACTCAGTCTTGGTCAACCCATGTAAACAAAGAAGGAAACCTCTTGATAACAGAATATGCCTAGTCTTCTTAGAGTCATCACAATGCACTAACAATAATGTCTTTTGAAGGAAGACCTGAAATGTTGCCAGACCAAACTCTACTCAGATTTTACCAGTCTCATAACATCATGCATTTTAAAATGATATGCTGATGCTTAAAATGTAACAAGTGATGCTATGACTGCTCTATGGCTTTTTGATATACTTCATGCTTGAGTGAGAGATTGCTAAAAGTGTATGAATATTGACAACAGAATCAGTATGTTTTAATGATATTTTGAATTATATAGAAGACAAAAAAACAATGCAATATTTAAGAACATGAAACAGTACAAAGGTTGTGAGCCAAATCTCCAAATGAACAGATGTAACTGGAATCTGCAATCAAAGTATAAACCATGAGTCTTCGGTTCTAAATTTAAAGCCCTTGGTAACGTACGCTAAATAACATGTACTGCCATTCATGAATACTATATACAGAAACATGGAGCACCAGAACAGTGATGGTACAACCATGCATGGGGAAAAAAAAAAAAAATCTATGATTAATCTAATATTTAAAAAGTGATACATTAAAATGTATTTTTTTTAAACTCACTCACTTGTGACCAATCTCATGTGCAATGGTAAAAGCTGAACCTAGGCCAATGTCTTCATTAATGCTGCAGCTCCTTTCAGGCTCACACATTCCAGCCACAGAGGCCAAGCCTGAATAAACAGAAGGAGACACAAAGGGTCATGCCAAGGTGTTTCAGTCTTAAAAGTGGTAGTTATAAATGCCTGGATTCTTTTTAATAACCTCTATGCACAGAAGGAGCAGTTGGCAAAAGGTTAACTTTCTAGTCATTTGCAAAATCACTGGGGGGAATTTCACTTTGCCGGCTAGACATTAATATTTTTTGAACTGCAGTCAGTGCTGGAAAATGTCTAGACTAGGGGTTAGATTTATAAATTTTACTTCTGGTAACTTGGGACCACCTAGTAACTTGAGCCAGGAGAGGGAATTTAAGAAAGCATTTCTATTTTAACATTCTTGAGCCTGAAGAAAGCAAAATGTATCCACATTATTTTTCTAAAGAAATCTGTTTAAGTTTAGTGGGTTCATAAAAACATACAAGCAACTTTTTTAGCTACGAGAAGTCCCACATGGTAGGCTAAAAAAATTAAAGAAACAAAACTGAATGCATCAATGAAGAGAAAAGAGACATGTTAATAACAAGCATTCATTTAACCATGGAAGTCTTTTCCATTTATCACCCATCATCTTCTGGAATTAAAACCTTATTGTATTACACGTGCTTTTAAAAACTTTACTTAGCAAGAGAAAGCCACTGGCATTTACAGAATATGGTTCTTACGATCTTACATATTCTTCAGCAACAGATTCTGAAGAATCACACAACATACTGCACTCATAATCTAGTGCCACTAGAGAAGGCTTGAAACATTGGATTTATTTAATGAATTTCTCCCTAGAGTTTCTTATCTGAAAGAAGCAGTAATCCTTTCTTTAAAGAAATTACATGCCTAGTTAACTACACTGTAATAAGAAAAAATTACTGGGAAAAATCTAAGTTTGGTTGAAGGATAGAAGGAATAGGGCAGGAGAGGGGAAGAGAGAAATCATACTCTTTATGTGAACAAGCACTTCAAATTATTCTGTTTGGACTAACAGTAAGCCAGTAGTAAAATGACAAGTGGTTCCTGGCTGTGTCCATGTTAACAAGTAATTTGAAGCCAAAGGAGAGCATCAGCAGAGCAAAGAACTGATACTGAGGCTCCTCACATACATTTGTTATGTGGGTTGAACACTGTAATGTGGACTAGTCTACTCTCAGAGGGTGAACATATTCAGTATATATGTCATTTAAAGCTTCTAAAAAGAAAAAATGTTACAGAATGTCATGAGAATACAGGCTTTGTGGTGATCTAGATCCTAACATCTCCTGTTGGTATATATAGAGCATTTGGGAAACGTGTTCTGACTCAATTTTCTCCAAAACAAAACTAGGCTACACACATCAAAGCTACTCTGATAACCAAAGTGACATGGGCAAAGGGTGACAATGCAGAAACTGCATCAGAACAGCATACTACTGCTACAAAACAAAAACAAACAAACAAACAAAAAAACAACAACCCACACAACAAAAAACAGTGTAGACACACCCACTGAGGACAGGGTAGAATATCAGAAGAAGACTACCCACAGAGAAAAATCTGTATATTTTTTGCAGTAAGCAACCTGCAGAAAATACAATAGCAGTCCATCTATTCTACTGTAATTGAAACACCCATTCTACTGTAATTCTGAAAATACCATGGCAATACTAACATGCCAACTGTCAAGTTCCCCTAGAAAGTCCACCACATCTGAGCAATAAAGTCATCTCCATCTTCAGATCATACAACCAAGCACTTGCTTCAGTGACTAAAAGGACCAGATTAACATCATTCCGTACTATGCTTGCAGAAAGATACAGATATCAAGTCAAGAACTAAATCTGTGGCTCAGATTTAAAGAAAGAAGTTGTCCTTCACTGGAGCCACATATGCGCTGCAAAAACATCTATCTTTTCTACAGAGTTCCATGAAAGATTCTCTGGTTTAGAAACTGGAACAGTCTCAAACCTCTCTGAGACTTCTCTTCATAGACTCCTTAAATATTAACTTAACTTCAGTTACTAGAGGTTAGTGGGACTTAAGCATATTAAATGCCTTGCAAAAGAGGGCCACAGAGCCTTGTCTCTTCCCCAATTCAATGCCTATAATGCAAAAAAATTATCATAGTGGTGTTGCCAAGGATCCTATAACACTGAGTTGGAACTGATAACACATGTGAGTTTTATTTTGAAATAAAATAAAAATCAAGCCTTTCGTTTAATAGAACATTTGCCAAAGTCTGTCCTCTGTTATGCTGGATTCAAGTGAAGCAGAATTTGCCTTTATGCCAAAGTCTGATACAGTAAGAACTAGTACACTAATGATCTGTGCTAAAAATACCACATAAAAATATCAAAAGTTCATGTGTGAATGTACACTCTTCCAAATTTTACTCCTTTAACGCTTGCAAAGACAATTCTGTGACGTGAATATGGATGGTCTCTTCAGTTTTGTCTGCTCCACACAGATGTTAAAGAAAATCAATTATGTTTAGAAATTCATCAGCATCATCTGTCTTTTACTAAAACATGCAGTGGATATTTTTTATATTTACAGCAGGCAAAATTCTGGTACCTTTCTCCATGTAAACTACATCCCCGTGCCAGAAGCGTCATGCTGACTTGAGCAGAACTTGTGGAAGTAGTAACTACAGCATAGTAAATAACTTCTGGTGACAAATTTAGGTATGGAGAGAACAATACCTCTCCATCCTGCACCTAAGGTTGTGATGTGTGATTCTCCATTGTCAAAGTATTGCCTCAAGGAGTTTCAATGTTACTGTAATTTATATCACCATGGTATTTTTCTCTTAAGTCTGTGAAAGGGACAACCTGATGGTGTACTCCCTGTGTACAACAGAGCAACAGTGTAAACCTCTAATCCTGTTTCTTGTAAGGTTTTTGTTTCACTGTTTGGTGTTTAAATTTCCTGAAGCCTTTTACTTGTATATTTAACTAGATGATGGAAACAGGTCAAATGGAAATAAACAGCAAGTTCTCTTCTATAAGAAGTAAGTTTGAGTCATTTGCTATGTTTTATCACAACTACAGCTGCCACAGAAGAAATACACAGCAGCAGCTCACTTAATTTAAACTTCCAGCAATGTATCAAAGCTAAGACCCACTTAAGGTTACCTATCATTGTTCATATCTATAAAACTGCAAAATTTTTCAATCATGAATTTTAAAATATCTGATCAGTCAATAAATCAGTAACTGAGTATAAACCAAGGAAACAGCAAATAAAAGCTCAAATTTCTCTTTGTAATCTTACCCAGTGTTCCACAAGGCTTGTTTTTGTAAGTGCAGATATCATATCTGTTAAGAAAAAAAAAAGTAGATAAAATATGTCAGAGAATCAAATTTTTAAGATATTTTGTATACTTATCACATATCTGTATCATAGTTCAAGTTGTCAGACCGCAATCAGCTTAATTATGTGCAGGCAGCTGGTGTCGGCATTTTCTACACTCTGGTGTAAACCGCAAGTTGCAATATACTCACAGCCGCTGGCCTCAGGCCAGTGGGACACCTGCCAGTAAGAAAAAAATGGTTAAAGTGGATCTTTGTAATCGCCAGCTCCATAACGCAGTCTACCACACTGTTACGGAGTTACAGCAGCATGCATATAGACTGCTACTGATTCAAAACACTTAACTTTCACTGTCTGAATATAACTGGAATCATGTTACAGTCTCAGACTTGTCAACTAAACAATATTAATTTTAAGTCCTACTACTTAAACTTTGATTCTAATTAAAAACTATAACTCTGAATTGTTACACCAACAGATTTTAAAAAAAATCGTGCTAGGAACTGCCATTATATTTTCCTTCTCATTATTCTGTGATGATTATAGGAGTCTTAAGAGTATACTATAACAATCTAAAATGAAAAAAACATTTTTGCCAGAAGATAAATATTGTCTTCAAAGACAATTTTCATCATTTTAGATACAATCCTTCAAATACAGAAGCTCAATGAGTTTGTGTGTAGTTAACAAGTAAGTATCTGGAACTGAAAATGGAATTAAGATGTTTTCTGCAGCACAGCTCATACTAACAGCAATGGTCATGTAGCAGTCAATTCATTAATTACATCAACATATTTTGAATACACAATCCTGTGATAGGGCTAGTGATATGGTAACATTGCTACAGTAACTCTGATTTTCAAAGATTTATACTAATTTCCTTGCTCTGTGTTCTCAGAATAATTTCTGTTCTTTTCATTCCATCCTTTTGAATAGCAAGTGTGAACAAAGATGACAAGATACTATCTTTATACTTCAATTTTTAACCCAAATAGTTATTAATTTCAGGCCACCAGACATTTCTGTTAAAAATATCCTAGGGATTGTTATCACATCAAGTCTGATAACAAGATACATATCTTTCAGTGCTGAAAGAGCTACGGTCTGACTGTAAGCCAAATCCATGGACAAAACAGCAAAGCTTAAAATTTGGAACAAATCCAGCAAACTCCCTCTATGCATGTAGACCACTGTAACCACATGGAATTCCTGTGATTTCAAAAGGTTTTGAGTGTGGAGCAGTTTGTTGGATTCAGCTCCAGTTTTGAACTCTAGTGTTCATATGCACTGATCTCTTCAAGGTGGATCAAACTCTGCCATCCTTTATGTACATAAAGCTCTCATTAATTTCCCATTTGCTGTTTGGAGAGGGGGAGGTAATCAAACAAGCAGGTTTTGTATGTCATAAACAGATAAAAACAGACAGAAAGAGTATTTCCCGCCCTTTACATATTTAAGGAAGCAAACTTATTTCTGCATTTAGGACAAAGCCTGACTCTAAACCAATTGAAGTTCATGCAAAATTACTCCCCAGAGAAAGCAGACAGGGCTCAGGCTACATACAAAATTGCTCCAATTCTTTAAAATGTAGTTTAGAACTCAACACAAGGAAGTCTGTGCAATACATAAGAAGTACTGGTTTTCTAACGTTTTTCAATATCCAGTGGTAATGGGAAGAAAACAATTAAAGGCATAGATCCTTACATAAAATGGATCTTTAAGAAGAAAGCCAGTTCCACTAAACTGAAGTAAAATGTTGTCATTGATTTCAGCAGAGCTAAAAAGTTGCCCTTATGGCCTGAACATGCTTACTCTTATACAGGGATGAATATGAAGTCATTTCTCAGCTTCAGTTAATGAAAAAGAGTTTAAGAAACAAAAGATATAATCACAGCAAATTGCTGAGGAAAAGACTACAAAGACGGTTGGAACATAAATGTGAAAAGTATATGAATATAAGAAAATTCAGGCTAGACAAAACTAACAGAAAGGTATGACTAGACATAAAGCTCTTCATAGGTAGGAAATACTACAGGATTTAACAATTGACCTGCTTGAAAAGGTTGTCAGAAAACAGAAACAAAGCCTAATGAACTTGTTCTATCCTGACTACAAGGAAACACAGCTAACTATTACAAATTACTAAGAGTTCATTTTTAGGGAACATTTCCTAAATATTCCATAAATACATTATCTCCAAAAGGTAGGTTTTATTTTTCATTTGCTGTAAACCGAATTATACTTTTTGACACTTGCTTTTTATTCTTATTGTAGGTTTCAATAATAAGCTATTCAAATAAGGACTGCTCTTTTCATATGCCCTTGCTCAACAATAAACACAACAGGTTCATTAGAATTTGATCTTTTTTACTTCTCATTCTTCATGCTACACTACATGATTTACCTATGTAGCCCATCATATATCTCATATTTGAACAAGTGTTAAGAGAATAGGCAAAAATCCCAAAACAAACAAACAAAAGAAACACAAAACAAACCCCCCACAAAATAAGTTAACTTAGTTGCAACACCTAGAACTATAAACTAAAGTACTACTGAATTAAACTGAAACCTCAGACTTCCTGTAAAGGGATCAAAAACCTCAAGCTACCTGGCAATTCCAACTCCTATTTTTATGTTATGGAAAAAAAAAAAACAAAACAAAAACAAACAAACAAAACCAACCAAACAAAAAAACCCACAAACCCCAAAACAAGGAGCAACCAAAAAACAAACAAAAAACCCCTCCAAAAAAACAAATGAAAAAAACAACCAAAAAACACCCAACAAAGAACAGTGAGTAGATTATAGTTTCACCATATTCTTTTGCATACATACACTTGGCTATGAGTAAAAAGTGGTTATTTTGCAAATGCAGACAATGCCACTAATGCTAGAGAACTGTGTGCAAAGATAAGTTACAAAACAAATACCAACTTTTGGTCTGTTTTTACAAAAAGCTTTGCATCATAATTCTTTAACAGTTCACCATTCTTAAGACAGTTTGGCAATTGATTAGATTTGCACAGGTTGCAAACAGCAATGCTCTTTATAACACAATACTTGTTGATGTCTTTCTAAAAGTTTTTCTGCAGCAAATCCTAAGCCTTACAGAAAGCAGTATACCGCAACAGCATTCTGCCTTAAAATAAAGTACACGTCTTATTTGGTTTCTTCCTCAAAAACCTCAAACCAAAACCAGCTATTTAAACCAAAGAAGTAGAAGAATAATATACGTTACACATCACTCAACAGAAATAGCTTTTTCTATTATTAGTTTTCCATGACTTTAAAACTGCCATAGACAACCAAAGTCTGGCTCTACCAGACTTTCTTTTGATATTTAGCTTGGGTGGATAAAATGAAATTCTGAGTCTCAGCTAGAAAAACTGTAGTGCTCCAAGTTTTAATTCTCCTGATTCATATGAAAATAAATATTTTTACTAACTGCACTGTAAATAAAACTTCTCCATACTACTTTTTGTAAACTGCAAATGTAGTCATAAAAGTGAAAATAAACTCCATTCTGAAACAGATTTTTTAATATTGTCATCTGTCTTCATCAATTTTGGTGATGTTAACACTAGAATAGCAGTTGTAAATTTACTATGATCAGCAGTATTATTGGTGTACTTAGGAGAGATGTAAAAGCTGATTTTAAGATTATTATTTAATAAAAGATTCGCCCAATGTAAACTGCACCCCTGAAGTTTCTAAACAAATTTTTACTAAGTTAACAAAAAATATATCAACAGAGAGGTTTCTCTTCAACATCGTTGACGTGTCATGCAAGCACATAGCAGAGCTATTGCAAAAGATAATAATTACATGAAAATAGAAGACGTCATAGGTGAGTTTGTAAACAAAAATATTTCTAAAGACAAGATGAAGACCCAGAGAAGGTTCTCAGCTTGAGCTATACTTTAGGCCATGATACACCATTCCAAATCACTGGTAAAAAGTCATCAAAAATCAGAGAACTAACTTTAAATTCTTATTATTTTGAGGAAATAATACATTCAGGCTTTTTAGTCATCTTCTGCTTTCTAAGCCTATCTGTATTTATGTACATTTGGTGCTTTTCAGGGTTTATTCTACAGCCATCCACATCAAGAGCTTCCTTTTGCAGTGTAAGCCATGATCCTCATGTAGAAATGTATCTTTACCAGCTACAGCAATGAGAAGACAATAAAGTGAGTACAGCATAACAACTGCTACAAACTGTTAGATCACAACCTAGTTACGTATTCAAGCCACACACTTATAGAAACTTAAAACAAGATTAGTATTCTGCTAGTGTTAAAAAAACAAAAACAAAGACAAAAACAACAAACCACCAAACCAAAAACCAAACACCCCCCTTCCCTCTAAAAAAAAAGCAAACCCAACAAAATTCAAACAGCATCAATACTGCTGACTGATTCAGGTATTACATTTATTGTAAAGCAATCTTTGCTCCTATGCAAGTACTATTCAATGGATCAAAACTAGGTAGCATAAAAATACAGGTAAATCCTTGCTGTCTCCTGACATATCAGTAACATCATATGAAACTCTGGAAAAGACAAAATACTTCCCCACGTTCTTCTAATCAGAATCTTCTTGTAGATCATACATTACTATACAAAGAAAGAAAGAATCAGCTCAATCACAATATAATGACATCAAAATAACATTGTACAAACTCATCAGACTATTTTAGTTGCCCAAGTAGACTCTAGAGTTACTCTGGAGACAACTTTATAAGCAAATCTAGCACTCAAGAAACAGCCAGCCACTTGCAGACCTTGGACTAGCAACATCACTCTCTGCTCTGCCTTGATCTCTCCATATTAGACTTTTTCTCTTCCTTTTCTCTATTCTGCATCCAACATGTACAGGCTCGCTGCTCCATCTCATTCGTCCCTTCTCCTTGTATTTTATTTTGTGATCTGAAGTGAACAGAGGTTCCAGCAGAGTTCCCTCTCTACAACATTAAGATTACCAGAGATCGACTGATGTCTCA